CAAACAATCAGAAGACAACCTACCACCCTGATATGAAAAGACAAACTTTGGGCATTTGTAGTTCTGCATTTTAAACCAATTTAGACCATTATACCATCAAGTCTACAGGAATAAACCAAGTTTGTCTCTCTCACGTTGATGGTAAGCACATTTACTTGGAAATAATAACTGTTTTCTTGTAGAAAAGCATAGTGGGCTTTTAAACTAAAAACAATAAAATGATCCTCAGTAACCATGTATATGCCCAACCAGCCATTTATTTTGTATACCACCCAGCAGCAGAAGCTCTCTGGGATGTTCACAAAACACATTTAAAAAGAAAATAAAAGACCCCAAGAAAGTATACATTCCATTAAAAACATATTAAAATATCATTAAAAGTTTACAGTACCAATATTAAAGCTACATACTAAACAGGTTAAATAAGAACTTAAAGAAGAAAAAGCAAAGAAAAAAGAAGAAAATATTCAGATCTGTTTAACATCCAGCAGGCCCCAGAAGCTACTTGAATGCCCTGCAGTAGAAGATGCTTTCTCTGGTTACAAGCCATGCTTGCATTAGCAAATGTTTTTCAAACATAAGAGATATGGAAGGATGCTGTGGCAACCCACACACTCTCCAGAGCAGGGGTCTCAAACTCAACTTACCTGGGGGCAGTCTGGGTGAGGCTGGGCTGCATCAAGTATTCCACCACCGCGGCGGTGGTGGGCCGTTCATCCCACGTTGCTCCCGGAGGACGGCCCGGGCGCTGCCGGCGCTTTGAAGGCCGCAGGGCCCCTTCCCGGTGCCCTGCCCGGCCCGGCAATTGGCCCGCGGGCCGCGAGTTTGAGACCCCTGCTCCAGAGGGTCCTGGCATGCCTGTGTCTGCTGGTGTCAGGGCCTATCTGCAGTTTGTCTGCATCATATGCCACTCTCTGGGTGGTCATTTGGGAGTGGAGTCTGCAGGCTTTAGTATCAGGATCCAGCCCCACCTGTACCACTGCATCACCTGCCCCACATTTAAAGATGGAGGGGGGCAGGGGGAGGAATTAGAGCACCAAAAATGAGCAGCTGGGATGAAGATTGATTCTGATGTTCTCCTTTCCTCTTGCCTCTGTCCCATCACCCTTCAGCTTTTAAATGATTGGAACCAAAGTCTGAAAGCTTTCTCTCTGGCAGATGGCACCAGGCACAAGCCCCCAAAACTGTCCTGGTGCATATGAGGCTATTATAAAGTTAGATGGCCTCTCATCCTGGTCAATGCTCGGATGGGAAATTGCCTAGGAGCATTTGCACATGTGCACATAGGTACAGACACATGCTGCTGGCCCTGTGGCAGCAAAACAGAGCCTGCTGCTTGCCAGATGTGCTGGACTACAGCTACCATTTCCATAACTTGGGTGTGGATGATGAGTTTTGCAGTCCAACACATATGGTGGGTACCAGTTGGAGATAGCTCGTATAAGCATACCTGAACTGGAGTACCCTTCATTAGATTAACAAAGCCATTTTCATAGTATCCATATAGAATCCATCAAAGGGAGGTAGGGTGCTGTTAAGTCTGGAAAGAGGAAGTTTTGGTCAAAGCCAGCACTGGTACAGCAGCAAGCCAAGGATCCTGGGCAGGAATAGAGCAGCTAAGAGCTTCCCTCCTGGAGGGTTCTGAAAACAGAACTAACGTATTACTGGAGACCCAGGGAGGCTGCCTAAAAGGGCATCCTGTTTCATGTTCTTTCTCCCTCCTGTATCATATGGTTTCATTACTCCCATGTTGTAATGTCCTTCGTCCACCCATGTGATCTAACAGCATGGAAGAATGGAGGTATAACATAATGAGAAAGCTGTCTCCTTCCAGATGTTAACAACTGTTTCCATCATCCCTCATCATTGCCAGTGACCAATGGGAACTGGAGTCCAACAATATGTGGAGGACTATCTTGGGGTAAAAGAAGCTACATTGCATGGCTGGGGAGAATTTTATTTATCAAGACATCTTGATCTTTCTAATACGTATTTTAAAAATCCTGCTCCCAAAGCATCTTGTTGATCTTTCAGAGCATGTAGTTCTGCTCTAAAAGATTGTCAAAAAATGCCCACAGCTAAAGCTTCTCATGGAGGACAAGAAACCAAAGCCAGACAATTCCAGGAACAGATTAGCTGCGGTGGTGCTGCTAAGCAACAGCTTCAGCCTGTCTTCAGCAGCAGAGAAAACACTGCCCCAGGCTGATTCACGAAAGGATGCTGCTGGTAAAATGGCCCCCAAGTGACAAATGCATTCATTGTAGCTCAGTGGCAAGCTGTCCTCACCCCTCCAGAGACTGGAGTGATTTAGAGCAACACTAAAGTTATGGTTGGGAAATGTCACTGGGCTTGCCGATGTCCCAGTTTCAGGAGGCAGATCCTGGGTAAATCTAAACCAGCATGCCCTCATAGAATTATAGAATGGTGGAGCTGGGTCACAAGGGGCCACTTTTTAAATGTCTCCATCATGATGAAGCATGGGGCAGCTGTTTAATCTCACCATTTTGGACTGTTTGTATTTAAAGTAACACTGGGGCAAAATGAAAGAAATGCCTGGTTCTCTTTGGCCACCACATTGGTGGCAAACATCAGATGGGGGTGCAGAACCTTCAGCCTTCTCTGGGCCATGGCAGTTCCACAATCATCCAGTGGCCACACCCAGGTGTGATGGGGAGAGCTTGGCTCCCCCACCCCATTCTGATTCTCCACCCCTGCTTTAACAGGTAAGAATTACATCTCAGGCTCAGCCTGGCTAAATCTGCCCACAGGCTAAATGTGCATCCACAACCTGTTGAAGGTCTATCATTCAAAATCTTTCTGGGCTCAGTTTGAAATGAAATAAGTACCATGGAAAGAACCTGTAGTCAAATCTGGATCTTTTAGACACCAAGCATGTGTTTTGACCCTTGGCTCAGGGATCAGCAACTGGCAGTTCAGGGGGAAAGCCCATACCCTTGAAGGAGGATGTCTGGTTTCTCAGTTGCCAAGCCCATCCCCACCACCCCACTACCATTTTGCAAAGCAAAAGAGGGAGAAATTGGAGTGTCAGCAAATCATATGAGAAAGGAAAACCAGCCTCATCAAACAGATGAACACTTTCCCTCCCTGGTGGGGCCCATTCTTTCCCATCCCTGATGGGTGAAATATGCAGAACATAGGTGGACTTGATAGCAAGCTATGGAGGATAGAGGAAGGATTAGGAATAAAGTGTCCACCCATATACATTTTCAAAGCATATTGTCAGTAAAAGAAACTGCTGACCAGGAACTTAGCCCAAACCATCATAACCTTTGCAGTCTGTATCCTTTCTTTGGTCTCTTTGTTGGGTAAATTGCATCCAGTAATTTGTCTCCTGAGAGGACTTGTGTCATTTTGAAATTTGTCATTTCAAGAGGGAAGCAAAGACTCAATGTAGGCTCAAAACTAGTTTTTATTAACAGGCTTCAGCTGAACTGAGAAACAGCTGCCTTAAAAACAAAGCAGTCTTCACACCTTTGTGGCGCAGTTCAACAAACCTTTGTATCCCTGCTATCAGCTCCAGTTACCACCTTCTAATTGTGAACCTATCCAAAGGGGTCAATCGGTCAAGTTTCCTTATATGGTCAGCAAGCAGCCTAACTGGGCCTACCAGGTCATTTTACATGTTGTATAGCATAGGATATATCCTGTGGTCATTTTAGACTGATAACTGCTAGGCCACATTTAGCTAACATCTTCACCAGGGTGACAATTGGACAGGGACTGTGGTCAATGGCTAAGCATGGCATTTGCTGTTCTTTTGGCTTCACCCATGCTACAGGTGCAGAAAGATGGGTTGCTTCTCCTTCCTGAAGATCATGATGTTTGTGTTCAATGGTGTGATATTTGTGAGTATCCAATCTGTTAGATAATGTGAAAAAGTGGGGAGAGTGGGGCCAAATACAAACACAGAAACAGAGCGAGTCAGAAGGGGCCTCCCGGGCCATCTATGTTATGGAGTTACTATGCAAATACTGTGCTTTTAACTACCAAAGGTAATATTGCATTGCTTTATACTTCCTGCTTCCTGTTCTTACCTTTGACGTGGATGCAGTAATACAGGCCTTCATGACTCCTCAGACTAACAGCCTGCAGTGTCATCAGTTCTATACATGAAACATGGTGTCAGAAGTGACTTGAATCTGGACAGAGCCTCTTGTTTGGAGTGCAGCAGCCCTGGGACACAACACTGATTTGTGAGTTACAGCTTGAGACCGTTCATTGTGCATTTTCTGATACTGGAGGGCTGTGAGGCTTACTTACATAATGGCTGCTATGAATTGCATACCTCCTCCAGAGGGAATGAAAATCCATGGGGATTGTAGCAGCAACTGGGAAGCTTTCAGAGCTGAATTTGAGGATTATTCCCTGGCTACAGGGCTGAATGAGAAATCTGCAGCAGTGCAGGCAGCCACTCTGAGAGAAGTCATCGGCAGTGAATGCAGGCATGTGTATAAGCACAATCTGAACCTCTCAGCAGAGCAGCAGGAGAATGTTACAGCCATTCTGGATGCCCTAGAAGCTTATTTCAAACCTGCTAAAAATGTCATTTATGAAAGATATGTGTTTGGATGTTTGGATGCTGCAAACAAGAGGAGGGAGAATCTCTTGACAACTTCATTACAAGAAAAAGCAGCAACTTATAAATATGGCACCCTGAAAGATGAACTAATAAGGGACAACATTGTTCTTGGTATATCTAGTGAGAGCACACGCAGGTGTCTTCTAAGAGAACGCGATTTAACGCTAAACATAGCCATTGAAACGTGTTGTACAGCAGAGCTCACTGACAGACATCTGAAAGTGACGGAACAGGACAGACAGCACAAATGTTACAATGCAGCAATGGCACATAAGCAAACCGCAAAGACAGCAACACATGCTTAGCGCAAATGCTGCCAACTCTACAGCGTGCAAATATTGTGGGACTGTGCATCAAAGGATTAAAGAATAGTGTCCAGCATATGGGAAGTCTTGTAGGTCTTGTGGAAGAGCAAATCATTTCACTAAAGTTTGCTTGTCAAGTAAAAAACAGGTGTCATCTGGAAAATTACACGCTATGAAGGATGCGCCTGCATATGAGGAGGAGCCACATACCACTGAAGTGATATACAGCAGTAAATTAATTGGAGCTCTGCAATCCAGAGGAAAGAAATGGTTTGTCACTTTAATATTAAATAATAAGCCTCAATCCTGCCAGCTCGATTTGGGAGCAACATGTGACGTAATGTGCTTGAGAGACAAAATGATGTCAGCACTGGAAGCACCTCTACTGTCAAGTGACACCAAACTAAAGTTATACTCAGGTGAAATTATGAAATCTCTTGGACTGTTCAGGACGGAATGTATCGTACGTGGACTGACACACAAGCTAGAGTTCGAAATTGTGGATGCTTGCCAAAAGCCACTGTTATCTGGCTCAACCTGTGAGCGTCTTGGGCCGATGCATTTCTCCATCCCTGCAGAGCTCAATGCGATGGGCAATCAATTTAAAGGGCCCTTGACAAAACAACTGTTACTACAGCAATCTGGTGATGTTTTTACAGGGCCTGTTGAATCTGTTCCGGGGAAGTTCATTTTGACCTTGATGTGAGTGTCCCTCCAGTCCAATGTGCCAGTGGCCTTGAACCAGGCCGTTAAGGCACAGCTTGATCGGTATGAGGCTGATAGTCATTTTGCACCAGTGACTGAACCAACTGATTGGATTAGTAATATGGTGATTGTAAAGAAGCTTGATACGCTAAGGATATGCGTGTATCCCAAATTTTTGAACCAGGCACTGAAATGATCTCATTACATAATGCCAACTCTCTAGGATGTTTTGTACAAGCTGCCTAAAGCATGTTTGTTCACACTTGTTGATGCCCGGGATGCATTTTTACAGTGTAAGTTGGATACTGCAAGTAGCTACATGACAACCTTCTGGACTCCCTGGGGCAGGAAAAGGTGGCTTAAACTGCCTTTTGGAGTTTCAGTTGCACCAGAGGTGTATCAACGTAAACAACATGAACCATTGGCTGGACTTAAAGGTATTGAACCAATAGCTGATGACATACTTGTAGTTGGCTGTGGTGATACAGATGGAGAAACAGAGCAAGATAATGATTGCAAACTGCTGGACCCGATGAATCATTGTAGGCAAGTGAAACTGAGACTTGGCATGAAAAAACTGCAGTTCAAGATCAAAGAGGCCCACTTTCATGGTCATATCCTTTCATTGGAGGGTTTGAAGGCTGACCCAGAAAAAATCAGGGCCATACTGGATATGCCACAGCCAGAAAATGTGAAATCTCTGCAGTGCTTCATAGGATTTGTTACCTATTTGGCAAAGTTCCTACCATGTCTCTCAGAGGTTTGTGAGCCTTTGAGAAGACTTCTGGATAAGGATGCAGTTTGGCATTGGCTTCCTAAGCATGATAATGCAGTGCAGGAAATCAAACGTTTGGTCACGGATACACCTGTCCTTAAATACTATGAAGTTACAAAACCAGTAACTATTCAAAGTGACACAAGCAAAAGTGGACTTGGGTGTTGCCTGTTGCAAGCTGGACAGCCTATCACTTTTGCTTCAAGGGCACTGACCTCTACAGAGCAAAACTATGCACAACTCGAAAAGGAATGTCTGAGTATTGTGTTTGCCTACCAGGACTTTCACCACTACCTTTATGGTCGTGACAAGATCATGGCAGAAACTGACCATAAGCCTCTGATATCTATTTTCAAGAAACTGCTTTTGTGTGCACCTAAGCTCTTACAGAGCATGTTGCTCACGTTACAAAACTATTGTGTCAATGTGGTTTATAAACCTGGACCTGAAATGTACATCAGTGATGCTCTTAGCAGAGCTACTGCAGCAGGTGGTACATCTGAGTGTACACAACACACAGTTTGCAATGTTCAACAGGACCTGGATGTCCTGTCACAGATTAATAATTCAGACTATTTAAACATCATAGACCAGCGACTGCTTCAGATAAAACAGCACACAGAAATTGACGAGAGTTTGCAGGTACTTAAATCTGTTGTTCTGAATGGATGGCCAGATTCAAAGGAAGAGGTGCCATTAATTGTGAGAGAATACTGGACTTTCAGAGACAAAATCAGTATACAGCATGGCATTCTATATAAGGGGCCAAGAGTCGTCATTCCTAAATCTTTGAGATCGGAGATGTTGAAACTCAATCATGCCAGTCACATTGGAGGAGAAGCATGCTATAGGCAGGCACGAGATACCCTTTACTGGACCAACATGCAGAATGAGATTAGAGACTTTGTTAGTCGTTGTGCTTGTGCATACTCATTGCATGCTGAGCAAGAGAAAGAACCCATGATGTCACATGTGCTGCCCACCCGGCCTTGGCAAATTGTAAGTATGGATTTACTAAATTATACGGGGCAAGCTTTTCTACTAATTGTTGATCACTATTCTGACTTGTGGGAAATTGAGCTCCTTCCTGACCTGTCTGCTGAAACTACAATCAGGCATTGTAAAGTACAATTTGCACGTTATGGCCTACCAGATAGGGTAATCTCGGATAATGGACCCCAATTTGCAAGTGAGCAATTCAGAAGGTTCTCTACAGATTGGGGATTTGTGTATGTTACTTCATCCCCGCGGCACCCACAAGCTAATGGCAAAGCAGAATCAGCTGTAAAGATAGTGAAGAACCTTTTCAAGAAGTCCAAGTATGATGGTACTGACCTGTGGAAGGCCGTTCTACATTGGAGGATCACCCTGACCGAAGGCATGGACAGTAGTCCTGTACAGTGTTTGATGTCAAGGAGACTGAAGACTTCATTGCCTGTGGCCAACAAACTGTTTGAACCTTGTGCGGTTACAGGTGTTCTGGAGAAACTGCGACGGAGAAAACAAATCTCCAAACTGACATATGATATGTCTGCCAAAGACTTACCTGAACTAAGCAATGGAGAGCCAATCTGTGTGAAGCCACTTCCTGGTGACAGGACTGGTCGCTGGAGACTGGGTACCTGTGTTCAGAGGGTTGTCCCTCACTCTTATGTTGTGGATGTGGATGGCAGTCTCTACCGTCGTAATCAAGTGGATCTGCGAGTGGCAGAACAACCCACCTCACAAGCTTATGAGAGTCCTGCACATGATTCTCCGGAGGTGTTCAATGCCCCTAGTCCTGCTGGACCAAGTAAGCAATGTAGAGATAAGACTATTGTCATATCTGAAGGAAACAATGAGGATGAAATAATGTAACCGCACATACCACTAAGTTCTTTTGTGCCAAACACACCAGTCAGGAAAAAGGACAGTTTGTTATCAACACCTTCTGGAGTTAAACAGTTTTCACCAGGCAAAATCCCTGTGGCCTTGTGAAGCGGCCGAGTTTCAAGACTTCTAGATAGGCTACAGATTAAGTCTATCTATTAGTAACACAGTATGTTGTGTTTAAGATTGTTCGGGATCTGTTTTTAGGTTAATTGTTTATACACTGTTGAATTATATGTTAAAAAGGTGAGATATTATGGAGTTTCTATGCAAATACTGTGCTTTTAACTATCAATGGTAATATTGCATTGCTTTATACTTCCTGTTCTTACCTTTGACCTGGATGCAGTAATACAGACCTTCATGACTTCTCAGACTAACAGCCTGCAGTGTCATCAGTTCTATACATGAAACAATCTAGTCTGACCCCCGGCTCCAGCCAGCTCCGCTCACAACATGCCCCCCATGGGCATGTCTGGCCTATCTTTGAACACCCTCACCGATGGGGCCTCAACCACCTCCCGTGGAAGCCCATTCCATACCCTTGGGGTCCTAACTGTCAGGAAGTGCTTCCTGGAATCTAAACGGAACCTTGGTTCCCTGAGCTTTGCTCCATTGCAGCACGTCCTGCCTTCCTCTGCAGGGGAGAACAGGTCTCTACCCACATCCATGTGACATCCCCTCACATACCTGTATGTCGCCAACAGAGCCCCTCTGAGTCTCCTCCAGGCTGAAGAGACACAGTTCCCTCAGTCTTGCCTCATATGGCATCCCCTGCAAACTGGCCACCAACCTTGTGGCCCTACGCTGCACTGACTCTAACCTGGCTATATCCTTCCTGTAATGAGGGGCCCAAAATTGAACACAATACTCCAGTTGCAGGCACACCAGAGTTGTACAGAGTGGTAGTAATACCTCTCTCAATCTAGAAGCCACACTTCTGGCTATGCAACTAAGGGTGGTGTTCGCCTTCTTGACCACTGCATCACACTGCTGACTCATGTTTACCCTGTAGTCAACCAGCACCCCAAGGTTCCTTTCAGAAGTGCAGCTCTCCAGCCACTTGTCCCTTAATCTGTACTTAAGACATACATTCCTATGCCCCAAATGCAAGATCTTGCACTCATCCACATTGAACGCCATCCTGCTGTCTCCTGCCCACTTCCATAGATTGTCCAGATCCTTTTGGATCTGGAGTATCTGCTCCTCAGTTGGGGCCACTGCCCCAGTTTTAGTATCGTCTGCAAATATGATCAGCAGACTGGTCACCCCTTCTTCCATGTGTCAGTGAGAAGATTAAACAGGATCAGCCCCAGAACAGAGCCCTGGGGGACCCTGCTTGTCACTGGCCACTATCCAGATGATTTCCCACTAATCGTTACCCTCTGCTTTCTGTCAGTCAACCATGCCCTAATCCATTGGACAGTGCATTGGTCTATCCCAAAACTCCTCAGTTTCTCAACCAGGATATCATGGGGCACTTTGTCAAAGGCCTTGCTGAAATCCAGGTAAACCACATCCACTGCATCACCTCCATCTAGCCACCTCAAAACCTTGTCAGAGAATTCCACAAGGTTTGTCTGGCAGGACCTGTTTTTGCAGAAACTGTGTTGTGTGGCCGCCAGCCTCCCTTCCCTATCTAGCATCACTAGATCTCTCGCTATTTTGAGCCTTTCCATTGATTTTCCTACAATGGACATAAGGATAACTGGTCTGTAATTCCCCATGTCCCTTCTACTACCCTTTTTGAAAATTGGGACCACTGACGCCATGCTCCAGTGCTCTGGAACTTCACCCGTTCTTCACGAGGCCTCAAAAATGGATGCCAGTGGGTGTGAGAGAACTCCTGCCAACTCTTGGAAGTACTCTCGGGTGTAACATGTCAGGGCCTGGCACCTTTGTAATGTCCAATGCCCTGAGGAGCCCCTCGAGTTTTAGGGGGGTGACTCTAATGTGTGCCCCTAAGTCCCTGGCCTCAACTAATCTCCCATGTGGATTTCCCCTGTCCTGCTATGGCAAAATAGTCATTTAGCATCTGTGCCTGTTCCCTTGTATCAATCACTGGATCTCCTTTCTCCTTATTTAGTGGTCCCACTACTTGTCTCCCCTTCCTCTTCCTATTCACATGGTGATAGGAGCTCTTTTTGTTGCTCTTGATATTCTTTGCATGAAAGAACAAATTTGTAAACTTGCCCTGCCCCAAAAGGGTCCAAGATGATGCAGAAGGTTAAAGGTGATGTGGGCTTCACTTGATGAAAATACTTGAACTGAACATGTTTTTATTAAACCTTTCATGATTTTTGGGGCAGAGCTATACATTGCAAAATAAAACCCACATCTCTCTTGCAATGTGTGAATGTTCACTGGTAACATAGAAGTAGTTTACACTTCCCTCTTATCCCACACCCTCAGTTCTCCCCCCCCCCCCACACACACACACACTTCAAGTATTATCATATTGATCTCTCCTCACCAACACACACTGGACTGCAAGACAAGAAAGATGGTTTGACTGTCAGGGAAACTCAAGCATGAATATTTGCAACAAAGGACTAGAAATGGAAGCGCCCTATAGTTTCCCTAGCACAGGGGTCGGCAACCTTAAACACTCAAAAAGCTATTTGGAGCCGTTTCCCACAGAAAACACCGGGAGCCGGGAGACATCTAAAATGAAGATAACACTGCGTATATCATTTTTTACCTTTATGCTATGTATAAAAAAAACTATAGTGTGTTGCATTTATGAAATCAATGAATGATTCTTTTATATAATCTCCATCTGTGAACAGCTTCCCATGCCTATTTCCTGAGCGGCCACAAAATTAGCATATGTAGTTGAATTTGCAGACTTAATCCACTTCTTGAAATGATTTTTGGTCAGATCAATCTTCCATATCAGTTCCGAAATGGCTTTTTTTCTCTCATCTCCATCCGGATATTTTTCAGCAAAGGTTGTGTGTTTATTCTGGAAATGTCTTGCAACGTTCGACTTTTTGTTTTTTACCAATTTCTCACCACATATTAAGCATACTGGTAAACTAATCTCATCAGCAGTGAAAGCAAATGCCCACATACCATTAAACGTTTTTTCTTCTAAAACTTTTCTTTTCTTGGATTTATCTATGGGTGACCTACCGGGGGTCAAAAAGCTCAATAAATCGCATGCCAGTGTCGCACACTGGTGGTTGTGATGCATATTTTGAGCGACAGGGAGCCTCAGCAGAGGGATGAAAGAGCCACATGTGGCTCCGGAGCCACAGGTTGCTGACCCCTGCCCTGGCCTGTATGCAGGTTGACTGGCAGACAAGTAGCTCCATTCTCAATATAACATGTAGTTATCAACTGCTAGATGCACAGTGAATGCAAGACTGTCTTGTTCCAATGAGCTTTTAATGGATTTTAATATTGTTTTCTGTTTTGTTTTAAAGGAGGTCTCCAGTCCTGTTTCATCTGCTTTGTTTACTTCCTTCCCTTTCATAAGTGAACTTCTCTGAATGGTGTACAGTAAAACAACACATAATAAGAATGCTGTGATGTATTGCTTTTTCTATTGCTTTATCACTGCTGTTTGATGTTGAATTGGGTATTACCTTGAGTGTCCATTGGGTGGAGGGGGTGATTTAGAAATACCCCATTTCTGTTGAATAGACAAACAAACAAACAAGAGTTCCATTCTCAGAAGTGGACTATTGATGAGGACAAACTCCTCTTCTTAATGAGGGCTGGGGAAGATTATCATCTTCTGGATAAAAGTCAGAAGAATTCTAGGGCTTTCACTGCAGAATTGAGACTTGGTTCTCATGGAGAAATAGAAACTTCTGACTCCTCTTCTTTCCTTTGTCCACCCAGCTGGGGGGCCTGGCTTTGCTCGGAGTTGGCATCTGGGTGAAGATAGATAGCAGTTCCTTTGTGAAGGTCCTGGGAACAGTAACTCCACAGTTGATGCAGCTGGTCCATGCGGGCTATCTGTGCATGGGAGTTGGTGCCTTTCTCATCCTCATGGGCTTCACGGGATGCTGCGGGGCCATAAAGGAAAGTAAATGCCTGCTTCTACTGGTAGGTGCCCTAAATATCTTGCCCCAGGCCAGACTCTGGCATCATGGAGTTGCTTAGTATCAGGGTTTATACAGGGCTTGTGCACTTTCTGACTCTGGACCATGTCCCAAGAATTGGACATCAACTTTCTGAGTACCTTTGAGCCACTCACAGCCTAGAGGAACCTGCTCCCCAACAATGAGGTTGGACTACCTTGGTGATGCTGACTAGGGTTCATGGGAGTTGGAGTCTAAGGACATTTGGAGGGCCACAAATTCCCCAGCCCAGATCTACTCCAACATATGTCAAAGCACCTGAACAGTGTTTCTTCCTTAGTGCATCTGTTTAAGAGGCTCCTCCAGCTTAGAGTGGTGGATTGAAAGATCTAATGCCCCTGTCTTGGGAAGCAGGGTGTTTGCCAAGAAATACCTGGGGATTTGAGCAAAGTATCTTCGGGGATGGTATTGCTCTCTCCATTCCCTGGTAGCCACACAGCAAGCATGACTGGAATGGAAAAACATTGGCTAATATGGATGCTGCAGCAGAACCTGATTTATTCCAGAAGAAGAAGGGCCTCATGAGAACAAACCCACAGACCTGAAGGCATTCAAACCTTACTGTTCCAGTACTGCTGGTTTTCTGATAGCAGACCTGTTATTTTGCCAGTTTCTACCATCGCATAGGAAGAAATGCTCCCGGCATACTACAGTGCCACCAGTATGTAAGACAGGCAGCTCTGCATATGTGGCATGACTTTGGTGATGTTAAGGACCACCCAGATGCCATTTTGATGGTGTTCTTTTTCAATTTTGTGCATAAAATTTTCTTTGGACCCTGATACCATATTTTTACCCAAATTGTTTGCTTGACTTTCATTTTCAGATCATTCCCCCTCTTAATATGCTTAATCCCCTGCATATTTCCATGTTGCAAATGTGAAATGAGCCATATAGAATTGAGTTATTCCTTTGATTTTCATGTTGTCCTTTACTACTAGAGCCTTAAATTGTGTTAATGGATGTAATATTTGTGCCTTTATGGTTAGGCTATTAGAAAAATGAAAAAAGCATTTGATTTCACTTTAATTTAACTTCTTGCAGTTGAGTTGTGCTTTGTGTTCCTGTTTTAGGGGTTAACTCCATGCATATACAGTGGTACCTTGGCTCACAAACTTAATCCATTCCAGGACTCTGGTCGTGACTCAAACTGGTCGTGACCCAAGTTAAATTTCCCCATAAGGTTCAATGTAAATAAGGTTAATCTGTTGTGTAACTATTTTTTTAATCAGAAAAATGTAAAGCAAAGTGACAAAGAACAATAAAGATCGTGGTCATCTTCCCCCCACACCCCAAGCTAGAGTGCTATCTCCCCGCCCCCTCAGCACGACCGGGATCGTGCCCATCATCGCTTCACACACGTCATCCCTGCGTGCTGGAGGGGGAGAGACGGGTGAGATCACGGGCGCGCTCGGGAGAAGGGCAGTTACACTCCTGCAGGAAAGACGGGCGTGATCTCGGGGATCTCCTCCCCACCCCCAGCACAATCGCGGCCATCTCTCCGCTGGGGGGGGGGGGAGATGGCCATGATCGTGGCTGCCACCCAATGCAGAGTTTGCGACCTAAGTCAATATTTTTATGATTTTTTTCTTCACGACTTGATTTGGTCATGAACTGAGGCATTTGTGAGCCAAGGTACCACTGTATTATCCTTTATAAGCCTTTTAATCCCCATAATTGGGGTTGCTTATGATCGTTTTTGTTGTAAAATAGCAGCAGCCCTTTTGTAGCTCTGGCTGTTGCTGGTTGCAGACACACCTTCCCTGTCTTTGTTTTCAGTTCTTTGCAGTCACACTGATTCTCTTCGCAGTGGAATTAGCAGGTGCTGCTGTGGTGCTGGCTTTCTGCTCTGTGGTAAGTCACCGCCGCATGTGGAAACGGGGGCTTCTGCAATCCACATTTTGCAGCAAGAGGAACTTTGACTAGGAACCCAAACCAGGAGCTTCACACAGGATACAAAATGCAATGGTGGATTTTTAAAAACTGTTCTAAGTCTACCTTGTCATCTGAACCCCGTCAAGTTATTTTAGCGTGACATGTTTGGGGAAACCGCAAACAGAATAATTGTCTGTTCTATGGTTTCTTGATATCAGAATGGCTTGTGATGTCATGCAAACCAGAAAGCACATCTTGTCATGGTACTGAGGCTGGACCCGTGTAGCCACATGGCAAGAAGGCCTGCTGCTGACCAGAGAGTGCCATGGACAGCTCCTGTTTGGTGGAACTGTCAGATGTGTCCCTGCTCCTTCTGCCTCCTGCTGTAAAGAGCTTCTTTGGGGCAGGAGCACTACGGGAAGAGCAGTGCTGCTCAGTTTCTCCCACCATTGCTCCAATGCAAGAGGGAGCACTATGAGTCCACTGGGCAGGGGTGTGCCAGATTTGGGGCTACATGGCACAATGGATCCCCCCATGCCTCCCCTCTTGAATGAGCAGCAAGGGTAGAAACAGCCAGGCAGTGGTGGCAGTAGTGCCTGGTTGGAAACTGCATGCCAGAGCAGATTCCCCTGTGCTGCCCCTTTGCCTGTGCCAGAGTGAAGGCCCTTGCATGTGCAAGTGAGCCAGCAGTGGGGGTGAGAAGCAGCTGGGTGGCAGCACCCTGTTGGGGGCTGTGTGCTGCAGAGGATTCCTCCACTGCTCCCCTTCCTCACCCTGGCTTGCCAAGGAGGAGTCCCAACCCAGTGCCCACACTGAAGAACACCTCTTTGGCAAGCCAGAGTGCCTTCCAGGTGCTTCTTCCCCATGCCACTGGCTACATTGTGCATGGAGGACTTTGGTGGCTTTTCCACTGAAGAGTTGGGTTTGCAATTTGGGTGTCCTCTTGGGTTTGATCCTTAACTTGCAGTGCCAGGTTTGGGCAGCAGCAGTGCATTTACCCTGCTGAGACTACTGTGCCAGCTGTGCCCTTTCTTGCAAAGGTCTCAACTGCCCATGGAGATACATGCCTGGGTAGCATCACATTACTGCTACTCTAATGCCTTCTGCATGGGGATAACCTAAGGAGTGCTTAGAAACTTCAGCTGATCCAGAATGTTATGGGGAGACTGGAGCAGGACTGCTTCCCCTCACTGGCTACTAGTCTGTTTACAGGCACAATTCATGCAAAGTGCCGGCTGTGACCTGCAAAGCCCAATATGACTTGGGACAGGCTGTTTGAAAGCTCCTGTATGAGCCTGCAGATTTTAAGGTCTTCCGTGGGAGCCTCTCTCTTGGATGCACCGCCATCAGAGGTGCATCTGGTGGGGACGTGAGAAAGAGCCTTCTTGGTGGGTGCTCCCAGGCTCAGGAACTCCCAGCTCCCTTCATTAACCTTCTCCCAGCATTTCCACTCAGACTAGCCTTTGACAATTAGGCTGGGTTTCTGTTAAAGGGGCTTCTGAGTGGGTGGGTTTTACTATGACCACTATCATTATTGATATATTGTTGTTTTTATATATTTTGTATCTTACTAAGATTAGCCTTGAGTACTTTTATTTGGCAAAAAGGCAGGATACATAAACACATACAAATTCAGCAACAGAGAAGAGGTTTTCACTGGTGACAGACAGGAAGCACAATCGAATACATATTTAGGCAGAAAAAAAGGCCTGTCTTTGCTGAGGAATGCTGGGACCTGTGTGATATATGATACATAATAATTGTATACAATACTATGATATAAATGTTGGCCGGTGACATAAAATCCTGTGGAGTTTTGAGTTACCCATTCTTTCTCTTGGATCCAGGCTGATATATTTGTTGACTACTTGAAAAACTGGGCCACAAACTCCTTAAAAGTGGACTATGGGAGACAAGAGGACATCACAGCCATTTGGGACGCTACAATGAAAGAGGTGACTGAATTTTTAAGGTGCTGTAAGTTATGCTCTGACTGGTACCCAAGGCACTTCTGAGCTTTGCATGACATGCTTGTGGAGGGGCTGTCACTCCTTTTGTCTCCCTCTTACTTCAGCAGTCAGCTTAGACTTGGGACAGGCAAGCCTTTTGGGACTATGGCAACCTGAGAAACTATTGCAGACGCCATGACAAAATGGCCACTGTGGGAGGTGCAGCTAGTCACAAAAGGCTATCCAAAAGATTGGGCACCATGCAGAGGCACACAAGTCTTCTTTGGACTCACTGTTTCCAGAAATAAGCAAAAGTAAACTGTGCATACATAATTCACTTGGATGAGAAAGCCCAGCTTTCAGGAAGATGTGTTGATTAAAAAATTAAAAAGGGAAGTGTTAGGACACCTTGGTGGGCACCAAGGAAGGGGAGCATTGCTGCCCATAGGAACCCTGTTGCCTGCCCCTATTCAGACTGCTGGAGTAACTTAACTCCTAGTTTAAGTAGATAAAGAGTTGTGCTGCTTATTGCTGGGGCAGGCAAAAGGCAAATGGGGATCTGCTGATAGTTATCTGAGTGATATGCAGTTGATGGACACTTCCAGGATTTGTATTGCCTTCACTTGCAGGAGACCCTTCAATCCCTGTATGGTCCCACATTGCACCCCACATGCCTTCCAGATGAATTTAGAGAAAGTCTAAATTCATTTTTGGAAATGGCTGATCAACAATGTGCTGTAGTTTTCAATCTGAACAATCTTTTTTCTTACTGGTTTCTGAAATGCCTTGGCACATATGCACACTAAATAGATC